ATATCCTATTGTACATAAACTTCTTTTGAATGATCTCTTTAATTTTGGATATGAAGGTGCACCAAATATAGATCGACTTGTGTATCATCTCAATAATGAAGGTTTTAATCAGATTATCCAAACTCAATATAAAACTTTCCATTTTCTAAGGTCGTCTTGCTGAAGAAACTTGGCGCCATCTTCTATCGCAAGCCAAAGTAATATTTCGTCAAGAACCTAACATAATCTTTCTTCCGCGTGGTTGTACTATTGTTGGAGATATTCATGGACAATATTATGATCTTTTGACAATATTCGAGTTAGGTGGTTCATTGGATCAACAACCATATGTCTTTCTTGGCGATTATGTTGATCGTGGTTCATTCTCTTGTGAATGTCTTTTTCTTCTTTTAGCACTTAAAATTACTTATCCAAGATCATTTTTTCTTTTACGTGGTAATCATGAATCACGTCAAATGACGCAAGTATTTACATACAAAAGAGAATGTAAAGTAAAATATTCAATTGATCTTTGGAATGAGTCTATGTCATTATTTGATTGTTTACCTATTTGTGCTATAATCGATGATCGATTCTTATGTATGCATGGTGGAATATCACCTTATATAAAATCTCTTCATGATATAGAACGAATAAATCGTTTTCAAGAACTTCCATCTGAAGGTCCATTATGTGATATAATGTGGTCTGATCCACATCCACAATTTAGTGCTCAACAAGCACCTCCATGGATATTCAATCATAATCGAAATTGTTCTTTCTTTTTTAATCATAAAGCATGTGAAAAATTTCTTATTGAAAATCGTCTTTTAGCTATTATTCGTGCACATGAAGTTGTACCTAATGGTCTACATATGTATGAACAAGGATCAATGTCACAATTTCCTGTTCTTATTAGTCTTTTTTCTGCTCCAAATTATTGTGATGTATATAATAATCCAGCAGCACTAATTATCTATGATCTTCAACGAAACTTTCGTCCGGTTTATTTTCGTCATCGACCACATCCATTTGTTTTACCAAATCATGAAAATGCTTTTGAATTTGGTAATCGATTTATGAAAATTTATGTAGAAGAAATTATTTTGGCATTAATTCAAGGTAATATAAAATCAATCGATCCTTCTCGAACTAGTGATGTTTATGATGATGAAGCAAGACGTTTGAGAGCACATGAACAAATCTTGGTCGAACACATACATAAATGTCAACATATTAATAAAATGAATATTCAATTGGGTAATTTAGCACCACCAGAACAATTACAAGAGAAGGCATTAAATAATCAATATGTATTTGAACAAGAAGTTCCTATACTTACCAAATCATTAGAAAACGATCCAACATTGACATTTGATTCAGCATCAAAAATAGATGCTTTGTATGAACAACGAACATATTAAATTTATCTTTTTTTTTTCATTTTTTGTTAATAAAGAAATAAAGAGAAAAACAATAAAAAATGACAAGAGCAAAAATGAATAGCATTTTTTTGCTATAATATGTCGTGAATGTCCCTAATAACGACGGAAACATTCATTTGTTTCGTCTCACTCGATGAAGGACTATTTTACATTCGATTGAAAACACTTTGATGTATGGATATGGCTGTGAACGTGGATCTACTCGTCATTCACATCTATACCCAATATGGACCGTATTCTAGAGGCATCTAATTATTCAGCATTTATTATAAAACATGATACAGATGCTTAAAAAGTCTTTCCATTACATTCATTTGCTTTTTTCGTTTCTATATGAGTCAATCTAAATCATTTGTCCGACTAATTAAGTCTAAATAAAATAGTCGTTGTAAGATATTAGAAAAGTCTAGATACTCACTATTCCTCTGGATGACATTCCAGACTAGCTCACTCTCTTCTCTTTGATAAGTTTCAATTACATATTTAATGAACAAGCGCCACTATCCTGTTTAAACTGTTTAGACTGGTATCGATCTCTCATTAAATCGTAGTTTACCATTAGAAGACCCATTGAATGCCGAGTATTGTCGGATCATATCTTCGAACCTATCTTTTCTCTCTCTTTACTGTTCTGCAGACTACTCTGAATGGAATGAATTGACAAAACGGACTAAAATGATAGATGTAAATATAGTTTGGACTAGTTCAGACATAGTTAAAGGACATTTCTTAGAAAGGCGATCGGTCCTGACGGGTAAGTAAGAGACGTTTCAGACTACGCCTAATAGGTAGTATGAATATTTCAGACTTATCTTGTTGAGTGTCCTCACTTGTTTTTTTCTTACTTGGGTGTAGACATCAAAAATTTTTGATACGCCGTATGAAATGCGAAAAGTCAAAGATCAGTAGAAATCTCGTGGTGTCGCACACTACGTTTTCTTATCCGTAACTGTCATAATACATTGTCTGTTTTTCGTGTCTACCGTGTGAGTTCTATGAAACGAGTTCGCTCTTCCCGTCAATCTCTGTAGGATACGTGGATCTCGCTGAGAGTCCGTGATTGCTGCAGTCGGTCGTCTTGTCATACGCTCACATAAAAATTCACAGACATACTCACGCCCAATCGTATCCATAAGTCTAAAAAAAAATATCCAATAAGTGTATGCCTTTCTGTTCTCTCTAAAGTCTGCAGGTCAGATCAGGCTGAAAAAATGGTCTGTGGACAGCTCAGATGCATAATGAGTACTTACGATCGACTATTATCCTACGTAATTGAGAGGATCGAATATGAAAAATTAACTGAAAGAATCGGTTTGTTGTGTTTTATTTTCTTCCTTAGCATAGGCAAATCTCTATACTTGTTTGAACACATTTTGCTATTTTTCACGTAGACATTCAAGAGTTATTTTGTCTATTATTTTAAATACAACTTTTAAAATCACTTGTATGCATGTTTTATTAGAAGAAGTTTTTCTTATTCCTATCCTATTAGATCAATTATAATTTCTTCTTAGTCTCATGTCTTTCCTATGCATCTTCTTATTGATTATTTCTATTGATGATACGTTAGAAGATTTTTACTGATATCTATTGATTGATTTTTAATTTACTATTATTCAAATCAAGTAAATGTTTATCTAAAGTATACATATCGAACAATTATTTATTGATTATGATTGTAATAAATTTGATGTATTGGTTTTTACTATGCTTTTGTACATGTCTCGATACAAGATCTGAAGTGAAATATTGACGACTTTATTTAAATTAAAATATGAGCTAGTCCATGTTAACTATGACCGATTCTGCTTGACTTATAGATCTCAAAATTTTGCATTCATCTTGAAGGAATCTTCATCTTGATAATGTTTGGAGAAAGATTTAAGCAATATTTAATTTATTTATTCGACAAAAAATTATTAAAAGATTTGAATATATCGATATAGAAATCTACGATAAAACTAATCACATAAGTCTATATATGAAACAACATGCTGTACATGATGGAATAGATTTCATGTACATGTAAAACTTTGATTAGACAGTTCTGTATGATAGAAAGTCGTAGCTTACGTCTAACGGCTATTATATCGTCGGTTCCTACAGTTTAATTGATGTATACAGATGTTTGTAATTCTTATATGTACTTCAAGTTCAAGTATAATTTTTTCAATGAAATAGCAAAATGAAATATATTCTTCTTACTCAAAAGAATATTTAAAGACAGCGTATAATCAATAATAATAGAGATAAATATTCATTTATGTTTTTCTTGATAAAAAAAAACTTAATCATTGCTGACTGCATAATTTCTTCTGACAATAATTTACATTATTTTCGAACGCTAAAACTTGTCTTTATCGTCATAGACAATATGCTTGGATGAAGAAAATCAAATCGTCTTATATACTATTAAAAAAACAAAAATACATTCAATATAAATTAAACAACAGTAAAATTACAAAAACAAGCCTAATGTTTTTACTTTATTGCATATGTGAGAACATTGAATAAAAGAAAAAATAAATTATAAGCAATTGAAAACTGTTCTCAAACACGAGGAAAAAGAAATTTGATTGAATAAGCAATTTTATTTATAACATATTATATGCATTGATCGATAAGAATCAATCAAGGTTAATTTGACATTATACTCAATTTTCTTTCTATCTGATTTCAATCGAATTGTCATGCCTTGTCCAACTTCGTCATATAATTTATTAAATTGACCATTTGATACTTTTAATGGATCGTATTCACATTGATGTATGACCTTTTGCCAACTGTATTGCTGGTTTGCCTAAAAAAATAGTACTGCTGGACGTCCAATAATCTTAATTGATTTCTGTCTTTAGCACTTATGATTTATCTTCAATGTATGCGTGTAAAATATCATCTTTATCAAATGACAGTCGCTCCTTCAGTGTAGATGCAAATGAGACTAGACTGATAGTCCTATGAAGAGCGGGGTATGGATATTTTTGTTATACATTTGAAATAGAGATGCAGTTCGACTCTTAAATTGAGTAGATAAATGGACGAATACGTCTTCTAATATAATACAGAAACATGCAAACAATAGTGTTTGTACAATGTGATATGTGAACGTTTCTCATTGTTGTTATCGATTGTCATATGCTTATTATCAAGTTGTCGTACATAACAAAAGGAAAACAAGTAAAAATCATATATTATTTGATTATAACTATAATCAAAATAGTATAATCTTTCTCAAAATTCTTTCTATCTTCGATAATAAAAACTTTTTTTTAAAGGTGAATAGAGTGATTTCGTATATTAATCTTGCACAAATTAGTCTTTTTTTTTTCATAGATTCTTTTGATTTTGTTAATTTTTGTTTTAATATTTAACTTGAATGGATATATAGCTCACAATGATTCTACATGATAAGAGACATAGAAGAATATATAGAACGATCAAATATGATTCAAAATGAAGTGAAGAGCTTTTTCTTTATTTTGTATTATAAATTATCATTGAAAACGTAAAAGAATAAATATTCAAAGTAATTTATTCTTCACTGTAATGATGATAATTGTGATGTTGTTCTTCGTATTAATTTTCTTCCAGAAGAAATGTGCCACCTGATCCATATTTTTCCTCAGCAAGTTGATGTGATTGCTTAATAGCACGAAGTTTTGCCTCTTCCAGATCTAGAAAGTCAATTCCTTTTGTTTCAAAAAGTTTTTCAACTTCGGCTGCTGCTAAGCTGGCAAGCATTTCTTTCATCTTTGGATGTGATAATTGTGTGCCATTACTACGAACATACTCTTCGTAAGCTTTCATAGCTAAATAAATAAAAATAATTATAATCAGATTAAGTGAAAAATGTGTTTATGAATAGAGAATTTTATTTTCTCTTTGTTTTGATTTTAATCACTTAAAAATCAATGAATTCTCTAATATTTTATATCTTGACTCTTCATCAAAAATTGTAAAATAAGAGAAGATGGTAAAAATTTTCAATTAACTTCAGTCAAAATGAAAATAATGTGAATATTACCGGCAAAACCAACTCCACCGGCAATAAGTTCATGTGTCCATGATGTATGTTCCCTAGGCTCTGGTCCGAAAATAGCTCCATGAGCTTGCATACTATCATCCATATTGAAGAGATCATCATAAACAGCCATTTTGTTATTGATGGTTACGTGTCACACTTTATAATAATACAACAAAGGAGAAACGCCCAATTATTTATACCTTCATAACGAACAAGCAAACGAAAAACAAGAAAAAAAAATGCTTTGCTTTGCTTGATTAGTCCATAAATAAAGTGTAACGTTGATTGCATTCGAATATGGTGAAAAAGGACATCGATAATCGGTGTTATGGGACGTTTCAGTCATAATTTGCTAATAAGGACAACAACAAAAAAAATCAACACAAATTCATATTTCTATTGATGATGGTCTTAGAATCAAATAGACACGACTCTAACAATGTTACTCAGAGTTCGATGTTGAATAGAAATTCTTTCATTTGTATTGAATCTCTTTAGTTTAATTGAATCAAGCATCTAATCAACTATACATATTTATTCTAAATAAGTTGAATGAAAAACAATCATACTCTTCATTTATTTGGAATACTATTAATTAATGCAAATACTTTATTCGTGTTAATTTAAATATAGAAAAAGAAAACTATCGTACAAATTGATCTGCTTTAGTACTCATTGCTCGTTAACAATATTGTTTCAGATTATATGTGCACCTTTGAAAAATGAATCATTGATAATATTTATATTTATTTAGTTGTTATTTTTTCTTTTTCTAAATGACTATTACAAAATATTGAATATAGACATTACTCAACTAACGATTGACTAAATTTTTAGATAGAATAACAATAAAATAGCAAGATTAAAATTATTGTATTTGAATAAATTGGAATTGTCGATCAATAATACAACAACACTGATTATCTATGATCTTCAACGAAATTTTCGTCATCGACCACATCCATTTGTTTTACCGAATCATGAAAATGCTTTTGAATTTGGTCATCGATTTATAAAAATTTATGTAGAAGAAATTATTTTGGCATTAATTCAAGGTAATATAAAATCAATCGATCCTTATCGAACTAGTGATGTTTATGATGATACAGCAAGACATTTGAGAGTACATACATAAATGTCAACATATTAATAAAACGAGTGTCCAGTTGGGTAACTTAACACCACCAGAACAATTACAAGAGAAAGCGTTAAATAATCAATATGTATTTGAACAAGAAGTTCCTGTACTTACCAAATCATTAGAAAACGATCCATCATTGACATTTGATTCAGCATCAAAAATAGATGCTTTGTATGAACAACAAACATATTAAATTTATCTTTTTTTTTCATTTTTTATTAATAAAGAAATAAAGAGAAAAACAATAAAAAATGACAAGAGCAAAAATGAATAGCACTTTTTTTCGTATAATGTATAGGTAATGACCCTAACAACAATGGGAAAAATTTCATTTGTTTAGTTTGACACACTTCATGGCCGTTTTACATTCGACTAAAAATATGATGGGTGTGGGTGATAGGAAGATTCCCGTTGACATCCACAACATCACGACGCAATCTCAATTAGATATCATTCATTGTTGTTTTATGGTATCACTTTTCAATATTATCCGAGCTAATTCATATCTATTTTAGCACTTCGTAAGCAAATTTCTTTCTGGTGAATGATTCACCTTATCATATTTTTTCACAGAGAGAAAATGAAAGAAAGAGAAGAGTTTTTCAATTCAATCGATCATAGGTAACCGCTGTGATTGTCACAAGGGGGAAAAGCAGACTTTTGGACTTGAAGTTACTTAAAAGTAAAGGATGATTCAAAAGTTTCGACCCCTCTCAGTAAATCGATGATATCTATAACAAATTTATATGAAGTTATTGATTAAATTATATCATTTTGTAGAGGAAGATTCGAGCTATCATCTGAAAAGAAAATAGTTCGAAATACATATATTTCTTAGAATCCTATGATCATTTTACTAATCTGGAGTGAAAATTTTTACCTTACATTTTTTGAAAAAAAACTTTAATGTTTGAATCGTTAAAGTCGAGCCAAATATTATTTTCTACATGTTTTCAATAGATATTTTTATGTAATTCAATAGAGTTCAACAAGCTCGACAAATATATGAATATTTAAAAAAATGCGAATCCTCTTTCCAATATAAAACTCGATTGAAACCACGCAAACTAATAAAAATCTTATATATCTCTCATGAGATAATATGCTTAACTTTCAAAAACTTTAGTTGATCGACTGTTAATTGATATTTCGAGATGCAGTATTACATACTGAAGCTGAAAATACCTCTTCTGAGCTGCCTGAATAGATGGAACAGTCAACCAACTAATACTTTTGAAAGATCAACTTACTTTCCCTGATATTTGATACATGAAGTTTTTATTAGTTTTTCTGATTTCTTTTAAGTTTTATATTGAATATAAGCTCAAAAGTTTTGTAAATATACATATTCTTGTAGAGCTTGTCGAACTCTCTCGAATCATGTAAAAATATCTAAAATACAATATGTTGCTTAAGATATTACAAATATATTTTGTTTTTTTTTTAAATGTAACGTAAATATTTTTACTCCAGATTAGTAAAATGACCAAAGCATTCTAATAAATTTATGTATTTCGAACTGTTTTATTTTCAGATGATAGCTCTAATCTTCCTGTACAAAATGATATAATTTGATCAATAACTTCATATAAGTTTGTTATAGATATCATCGATTTACTGAGAGGGGTCGAAACTTCTGAATCACCCTTTACTTCATCTACTTGTTCTTACGTTGGACTACATGAGTGGTACTTTGGGCTACTTCAAGTATGTACTTTGATGCACTTTTCTACTTCAAATCTGTTTTTTCCCTCTAGGATTGTCATCAAATATAGAAAAAATAATATTTTGCTTACATGCATCATCTACGTTTGTTTTTTTCATAGTCAAAATAAAAGAAAAGAGCCCTTTAATTTTATTCATTAATCGTTACCGTTTTTATTATCCCTTAGATAACGAAAAAAAAAACTTTTTTCTCTCTATGTTGTTCGCCTGTACTTTGTCACAGACCGACTCGAGGAGAGAAAAAGATAGAGTTGATTACTTATTCCATAGACAGAAGAAATGAGGACCATCAACAGATTACATTAATCACAGGTAAATAGCTTTACCTCAACTAAGGTATAGAGAAAAATAAATATTTTTTCTCTTTGCATAGTTTGCCTGTATTTTTCATAGACAGAATAAAAGAGAACAGCATACAAATTAAATCAGTCACATGTAAATAGTTTCACCTCACGACAGGTAGAGCGAAAAAAAACGATTATTTTTCTCCACATGATCTGCCTGTATTTTTTCATAGACAGAATTTTAAATTAGAGCCTATAGATTAAATGTATTGCAGGCAACTGATCTTATCTTTTCCTCGGTATACAGAAAAAGAAAACATTTCACTCTTTATTGATACCCATTTTTTTTCTCCTTTTACTCTTTCGAATCGTACTGCTACTGACCCAATTTTTATCTTAATCTTTTGTTTTGTAAATAAATACCGTCGAACAGTAGAATGAAAAAATGCATTTAACTAAACATGTAACAATCATAGAGAGATTCTTCATGAGTTCGCTATAACATTCTTATCTTATCAGTAGCATTATATTTTGCTGTAGCTTACCAAAGAGTGGGTGAGCAACTAGAACAAGTAAATATTTGACAGTCTTTCGTCTCCATTTCACAACAATGAAGTGAAAAAAGTTGAGAAAGTATGTTTCGATGCATGGACGATCAGTTCGTTGCTAATAAACAGCAGAAAATATTGTTTATCTTTATGATACTATCCTATCTGTGCTTCGACAATGACTGATATTCAGCAACAGAAATAAATGTATTGCAAGCTCCTTTTTTTTGCTTCTTTATATAGATGTCATCGGAGACACCCGTCTATGTACAGTTAGGACCAAGAAAATGGGAATTAGGTGGTGAATATTTGAAACTGTTGGAACCATGCAACCACTGTTTGGAAACAGAAGATGTCGGTAGTGCTCTACGAAACCAACTCAATGATAAAGGCTATATCTATTTGAAGAAAGTTTTACCAGAAGAAGATGTATTGAAAGCAAAAATAGCTGGTATTACGTCATATTTGCATAATATATAAAGATAATCGATTTCCATGCTATGATTTTTATTTTTCCTAGTTCTCAAATATCTGCAGCATCTGAACGATACAGGACTTATTAAAAAACCGATATTTTCTTCGTCGTATAGTGATGGTATCTTATCTGATGGTTGTGATGTTGGTTGCATTCCTAGTTTGGAAGGAAGTAACCCTATCACTAATGATCCTGCAGTGCTTCATATAATTGAAAACCCTTATTTATATGATATTTTTACTTCTATTTTCCATGGTATTCATCCTATTACATTTGACTTTAAATGGTTGAGAACGATGCACCATGGTGGTAACACTGGTTGTCATCTAGATCGAGTGTATATGAATCGAGGTTCACCAGAATTACTAACATGTTGGATTCCATTTGATAATCTTACACTTGATATGAGTGTACTAGCCGTATTGGAAGGTAGCCATCGAATGGATAGACCTGAAAATGATGGATATACGAAACTGCAGCATACTTATGCTGATATGGATGTAGAAAGGGATAAATTACAAGGAACAGGATGGTTCACCGAAGATCCAATGGAATTTTATCATTTGGATGATGCATGTCAACCATGTGATTCAAATCCCATTTGGAAGACAACAGGTAATTTGAAACAAAATAAAACATTTTTTGCACGCTGATATTTTGCTATTTAAGAAAGTATAGTCTAAATACAGATCTTGTTTTTAATGAGAGTTTTTGTGAAAACTGATAATTCATTCATGTTTAGCTTTTTCTGCTGGTGATATTCTTATCTTTACAATACGTACAATTCATATGTCTTCAGTAAACTTAACCAATAAACTACGTATCTCATGTGATACGCGCTGGCAACCATCAGATCAACCAGCAGATCCTCGATTTATTGGACTAGTGAAGAACAATTTAGTTGGACATGGTGATGCCAAATTTGGTCTTTATGCAAAGGATTCGAAGAAGATTGACGATGACAAGACAACTATAGAACAATGGCGAAAGATATGGGGATTTCCGACAAGAACAGAAAAATGATTCAATCATTTCGCTTCTCAAAAATGACTTTATTCAATTGTAACTATTGCTAAAGTATGATAATAAGCTATACATTTGAATATAAACTGTAATCTTATTTTTTAATGCTCTTTCTGAAACAAAGAAGAAAATATTAAGCTATAGATTTTCAAGTACTTAGTTTGCATTGATGTTGTAAATGAGTTTTGCTACAACTCATCTCATATAAAAATGTGTTAGATCAACAATCAAAAAGTTGTCGCATCAACAATGACGAGGGAACGTCTTCAACTTTTAAATCGCTTTTTGATTGAGTATATGCGCAAACAGTAGTCCTCAATGAGCTATTAAATAGCCTACCGGAATTTGGATTTCCAGGTCTCTTGATCTGAGATATACGATTATTATTATTATTATTAGTTTTGTAGTACTACTATACTAATTTATTTGATATCTTGACTAATTAAGATCGCAGAGTTTGAAGATAAATCATTGTTTCTTATCGAAGATATCTGTTTTATCTCATGGATTGACTATAAAAAACAGTATGTGCTCTCGCTGAATGATGCAAATATTGATTTGTTTAATACTTTCAACACACATTCATTTCTTAGTGAATATTTGTATAGAAATATCAGCTCATTTATTAATACTTTGATTAATAATAATTGGAAGAATGAATTCGTGTACTTTTCACTTTTTGAACATACGGTACTGATATACTAAACTTAATTTCCGAAAGATGCCGATATTTTGCATGTGTATTTCAATGACTGAAATAAAATATTTTTTTTGTTTGAATACGTTCTTTGAACAGAATCATTGACGATCGAAATCGGCAAGTCAAGATGATTGTGTACTGATGTAGTTGACAAGAGAATAGATTTCTACTACTATTGTACATATGATGAGTGTGATTTTTCCTCATGTTTGTTCATTGAATGAAGTTTATTGTGACTATATTTTATGTATTGAACATTTTTTCAACAACTCTCACTTCTATTGATGAAATGAGTTACTCCATTTTCATTGTTTCGGTTGATTCTTTTCTGATTTATAAACATGTCACTGAAAATAGTACACATACATTCTTTAGATTATTATTAACTAAAGTATTGACAAATGAGTTAGCATTTCTACAGACATATTCACTAAGAAATGAATATGTATTGGAAACATTAAATGAATCAATACTTGTATCATTCAAAAAGAGCACATACTTTTTTTTAATGATCAATCCATAAGACATACCCGATATCTTAGATAAGAACCAATGATTAATCTTCAAATTCTGCGAACTTCATCAGTATTGAGTACTTTAGTATTAATATAAATTTTAGGCAGATAGGAACATGTTTAGTCAAGATACCAAAGATATTAGTATAGTAGTACTACAAAACTAATATTAGTAATAATCGTATATCTTAAGTAGTCTGAAAAAATAAACTCTGGTAGGTTATTTAATAACTCATTTAGCTCCACTGTTTGAGTATACATTCGATCAAAAAGCAATTTAACAGTTGGCGACCTTCTCTTGTCAGCTCCCGAATAACTTGCACACAGATTATACACGCGTGCTTCATTGTAAATCTTGCGTAACATATTAAATCGAATTCTTGGACTGATTGTGTTTATCCAATATAGAGTTTATTCAAGTAAGTTAAAAAAAACACGTTAGTTGATGTTAGTCTCTTATTTTTATGTATATTTTCTTTGATAACGAGCCCTTTGATTCTGCTGATGCACACTTTCATAAATTTGTGAACTAGAATTTGTTGCTGTGGAATATGTACCACGTTCAGTTGCATGCTGCATGTAAGCATTGTAGTGTGCCGAACGATAATCTCGTTCAGTTGGATAGCGGTGTTCAAGATCTTTAATTAGTTGTTGACAGAATGGATCTCGAGCTGAGACACTAGTCTTAATATTTTCAACTTGATTTTTGAGCAAGGCGAGCGATCGACTATAATTTTGTTCAGTCATAGCTCGTTTGAGTGCAAGTGCAGTTTCTATGCGATTTCGTTGAAGATCAATTGTATAACTAACTCGAAGGTGCTCAGATGATAGATTTGACGCTCGAATGAGATGAAACGGAACAGGTATTGTAGTTAACGTACGGCCACTCTTCGGATCAACATAGCGGACTGAGACTTGACCTAATCAGATGTAAACAAAATTTAAGTAAGTATTCATTGAAAATGAAAATATAAATGATTGAATTTCCCCTCTTCAGATGAGACTGTCGAACATAATACTACGATTGAAAAGAAATTATCAGCTTACCAATTACATGATTTGAGACAGATTGCTGTTGTTCTCGATAGTGATATTCTGAAGAAGATTTGTTTTTCACTTTAGGTACATATAGCTGAAAAACGAGATTTCGTTTTTCATCAGCGTTGAGATCGTTTAACTTGAAAGTAATCTTCGAAGAGGGTAGTCGTTCAGGTTCATATTTATATATGGAATCAGCATGTATCACTTTGTACTCGCCATTGAATTCAAGATTAATACGAATATTTTGTGCCACACACGTCAATAGACCAGCCAGTGCCATGGCAAATGCTGGACCCACAGCTTCATGTTTATCCTATTTAAAAGATTTATATCAGTTACTACATGCTTTTATCCTTTTTAATCAAGTGAGTCTTCTACAATTAACGTAATGAAAGCAAACGGATGACTGGGATATGTCACATAAGACTGTAATAGATGTCTCTATTTTCTAAAATAAAATCTGAAAATGGCAGATCGATATCAATAATCATTTTGAAAAGAGACTGTATTCGTCATTGTCTAGTGTCGAATTAATAAATATCACGAGCTCCTATTTCTCTAGTAGACTGGCCATCATGCGACGATATGTTTTTACGCGCCGATATACTAAATCACTCTAGTACAATTTTCGGATGTAAACTAAAGGTGTGCGCTATGTATTGGATTAGTTGGAAACCTAATTTGAACGAATCATTGGTTAAGTTATCGAGTGATACTATTTTTTCTTAACTGTGACAGAGGCATTGTGTTGAATCTTGCAAAAATGTTTCAAGTAAAGTAAAACAGTTCTTTGAACTTACAATGTAAGTGAAAGTGCCGCCATTGCCTTGTTCTGTAAGTTGTACTAATAAATCAGCTTCATGATCTGATCCATAGCCAAATGTATGACAAACTACATCTTCAGGCAATCTTCTTATGACATGAGAATAATCGTGTACTTCATCATCTTGACCATCAGTGAGTAAGAATAAAGCACTTATGGGATTTTTTGTTTGACGACGTCTGAACATTTCAACGCCCATTTCTAAACCGCATCCGATATACGTAGAAAATCCATCTTCAATATCATCATTGATCACCATGTTCAATATGTGTTTACTAAATATTTTAAAAAAAAACATCATTTAACCATTAATAATATAATTCTATGCGGTGCATAATAAATAATTAAAAGTCGTGTAACGTATTTGGACACATTGATACACGTAAAAAATATAGTACACTACAGAACAGTCTACTGTTCTTCTTTTTTCTCCTGTACTTCAATATCTTTCATCAAAACTTATTATGTTCTCTACACAATCGACCTGGTATTCTAGATCTGGCTATGATGATTAGTCTTGCACTCATGTTTTAGATGGAAGTTGTGTTCAAGATTATTGTCCTCTTCTGAAAACTAACTAGCCAAGTTTTAAAATAATTATAGACCAAGAAAGCTCGTCAAACACGAGATTTATCAGTATGACTTATTAAGAATGCTGACAATTGGTTATTATCGAATTCACAGCATTCAGTTTTTGTGATTTAATGATAGTTTTTAATCACATGCAGAAAGTGTTTTTTTTTCTTCGATGATCACTTCATTAGTCTCTTCTCTCGTCCATTTATGACAGTAATATTGTCGAACAATAGAAACGGAAGAAATAGCACCTACTCTCACTTTCAATGAGTCACTTGTTCATATTGGATAACTTTTGCATTTTACTTCTGTCAAACTATATCATATATAAAAACTATTTTTAACCAGCTCCAAGCTGTACTGAACTAAGCAGAAGTAGATTTACTTGTTTTCATTCATTCGTTTCAATCCATGAGACCGATCATAAGCATGGTTATCAAATGAAATAATGGCCAATCGATCGAGATCGGTCAATTGTTCAGTAATATACATTAATGTTTGTTTTAATAAGATCATTTTGGCACCAGACATGGATGCACTTTGATCAACAACACAAATAAGATCAATTGGAACACGTGATAATGATGATGATCCATTCTCTGTTGATGATCGGCGAATAGAAGGTGTTTGAAGGGTAACGAGTCCGTATATGTTTGATTCTTGATGAAATGGTTGTCCTTTGAATTCTAGCTTTGTAGAAACAGTTATTGCAGCAGGATTAGACGAATTTGAGGATGCATAGATTTGTCGAGTGGTAGCAATTTGAGCGGCAAGTGCTTGAATAGCCGTCTCATCGACTAAATCTTCCACTGAAGATGGAACCTGTTTAAAAGTAACAGATAGTATTCAATTATGCTTTCATGAAAAAAATAATTGACATCAGACACAATCAATTGATAGGTAAGAGCTAGTAAAATGTTTGATTTTGTCGACAACTTTATACATTTGGAAGAGTATTCAGAAAACTGTGAAGCGACTAGCAAGTTAAAATTTTATATTTTTGGAAATAGATCAAACAAACTACTGTCGAGAACTCTTATGTATGAGAGGTACTTTCACCTATACAAAATGGATGATAAAAGAAAAATCTAAAACGACATTACCTCGTCAGAGACTCGAGAAGTTAAAGAAATACTAAAAAATAAGAAATAAATAATATGATCCACATTGAAGAGATTTCCTATTTGAAGAAACAAGTGTACTATTATAAATCTTTTTCAGGAGAATCGAAAATTGAGATCAAAAAGTTTAAAGTGACCAATGGTAAAGTTGTTTATGTGTAACTCAGTGAATACTTGACAATATGGACAAAATGTTTTCAATATCTCTGTCTTGCATCAGTAAAACATGCGTATTTCTTTTAAAAACTGTTGAGCAGAAGTGAAATGTTGTTAAGAAGAGATGAAATCACACAAGTACAATAGTGAATAGTTCGAAATTGTCTCAATCGAATATTTCGATATACATGAGATAAACATTGATAATGAATAAAACCAAAATGTTGAATAAATTATTGATTTGTAGTAAATAGATAGAGGAAGAAATTTAGTAGAGATCAAATATCGAAATCTCTGTCACCGGTAAAACGGAAGTCTTACGTAATATCTGTAGTGATTCAGAAGTAGATATGACTAATCGAAAGGTTGATTTGACTATAACAGGCTGAGAAAAGTGAAAAATGACTCATGTATGTCTACCTTTTCTAACACTGAGATGAAAAAAAAAACATATTTTAGTAAATGAATTCAAGTATTGAGATGTCAGATGGAGAAATAAGTTATCCTTGAAACTAATAAATCATAAATACATATGATATATTCTGAGATCTGTAGAAAGGCTTCGATGGTTAAAAACAACTGAGTCAATCTCCACCAAAGTTCTCAGATAATTTTTTTTTCTTGCTGATACATCTTTTCATTTCAAAGGGTTGTTTTCTTTCTTTTCCTTGCTGTTTAAAATTCAGCAACAACTATTACAATACAGATTGTGTGTTGGTCTTTGACTGGTATACAAATATCTTTTTCGAGTGAGCTAACAGTCTCTACACTGTTATCATTATACGTTCTTTGGAGATCTCTATGAAACATATCAGTCAAATAAAATTGTAATGCTTGTATGCAATAGATCTTAGTCACTCTCTTTTATATAACGATATTTTTCTTTGGAATAATTTTCATGAAAGAAAAAAGCATCATGTTGGTTAGTTTTTTCTAGTAGCCGTTTAAAACCATTGATAAAGAAACACGAATCTCTTCTTTTTAAATGAATACCTTTTATTTCAGTGCATTCGTTCTAAATAGAAGGAAGTAGACACCACGCTTACTTTTTTTCTCGTCTGTATTTTTCTTTTCTTTCCTTTTTGTTTTTCTCCTTGTCCTCTCAATTATTCCCAAGTATTGCAAAACTTAAAGTCGTAATGACAAAACTATCAATGCATGGAATTTGTTGTACTTGTGATACTGTTTCTGCTTGAAACTCTGATCTATTCCTATTTTCTTCAAATATATGTCATCACACTCGAATTTTATACCTAAGTGCCACAATAAACAACAAGAGGTATTAAAGACTTCACTTACAGATAGATGTCTAGGATGATATTGATGATCATCATAAAAACTTACGCGATATGAATACGTATACATCTGTCTCTGTTGTGGTTGCTGAGAACGATGATGAGTTCTAGACAATAATTGAATGATTGAGGCATCGATTGTCGCTCGACACAATGGACATTTGGTATGTTGTGCTATCACGGTAGATGTTAAGCATTGAAAATGGAATTTGTGTTTACAAGATAGAGTGATCAGTGATGTGCCTGATACTAAGGCACTCAGACAAATCGAACATTTGTCTGTAGCTGCATATGTCGATTTATAAGAAGCCATTCGAAGGATAGTTTTTATCTCGTCGTATTACGTGCGTGAAAATGAAAAAACTGAAAATAAATCAATCACTTGGTTGTTTACTTCTCTAATTAACGATGTCATTGCATCATATCATTTTAATCATTCTACCGTGTAAATAATATATGCAACACATTGAAAGAAAGTGAATCATTTTTTTGCCGACATATTTATTACAATAAATTTCCAATGTAGTAGTATGAATGTTGTAATCAACATTAAAAAACAAGTGAAATTTCCTATTCAGCTTGATTAAATATTGTAAAATAAGCATTTCATGAGTTTTTAGCACCTGCCTACAAAATACTTTTAAATTTACGATCTACTAACTTTTTACAGTGTGAGTCTGGTGATTTGGAAGAGTCTTTGTGTGTAGATTTTTATTTGTCCGCACTTACATCCACATCCACACCCTCAAGTAATCATGTTAGAAGCGACGTAGATCTGTATATCAATTCATGTTCTAAATTAATAAAGGTATTTCTCTTCTAAAATTAATCTTTGGGTGAAACTTCTCATGATGTAATTGAAATAACTGAGCAGAGCATTTTTCATCTCACTAACAACTACTTTAAAGTGCCTGTAACTTTGCACAAAATCTTACTGTTGGATTCATGATTAGATGACAGCAGGAACCTAATAATTTGATTGGCTAATCGATAGAATGAGTATGCCTGATACGAGTATAAATACAATGTGTGCATTCTTGGAACGAGTATGTGGTTTTGAAGGCGATTGGATAGCTGATTTGGATAATCGATGTAATCAGTCAGCTTGCTTGATAAGCCTTACGCCATAACATTGTTGTTCGATGAATGATTATCAACGAAGAAAAATGTAGATGAATGGAAAAAACTAACTAAAACAAAGTATTGCATTGATACGACAAATCCATTTGCACATCTTTTACATTCATGCTTTGTTTGATGAAGAAATAATAAAACTGTTTGTATACTGATCATAGTATATGAGCAATCAAGTACGTCTAACCTTATGACTATTTAGTAATTACTCATCTCAAAGCTATCGACAAAGCCGGCATACTTAGTTAACCTGTATATTGATAAAATGAAAGATATCCATCAATGAAGAATACTATTTAGATTTCTCGATAATTCACTAGGCAAAGTTCGATCTCTCTCAATAAATAAGCTTAATTCTGAGATACAAGAGAGCAGGTTGAGAATTTATTGAAATGTTTATTTCTTCTGCATTGAAGAGATACAACCATAACGATCCCCTATCATACAAAGATATATTACAAAAAAATATTAAAATACAAACAACAATTGAAAAAAAACCTATGCTCCATCATCACATTTATATAGTACATATATAGAGCAAAGAGAATACTGCGACGTCGAACATAGAAACTGTTCGTAAGATACGAGATTATTATATAAACTTTTACTGAATCACGTTTAGTAGTGGTCAAAGATGAATTGACGTTCAGCATGATCGTTGATACCCTCTGCAAGTATCAACATCAAAAGTACACGTGCCTTCCATGGATTGAGCGTACCAGCACTGAGAAAATCAACCTGATTATCGAGCTCATCATGCGACACGTGACCGTAACTTACACGAGACGAGCGCACGATTGCAACACCTTGTTTTACTGCATCTATTGCCGCCTGTTGCAGCGACATGTGGATCGTTCCATCGCCAGTGCCTGCAATCACGATCCCTTTCACACCTTGCGCAACGAAAGCATCGATTGCTACCCGTGACGCTTCGGCATAACTCATGACGATTTCGACTGAAGGCAACTTCGACAATTTTTTTATAGTAAATCGACTCTGTGTCGTATTCAAATGCATCCCTACGACACTGCGCTCAAAATGTACCGTGTTACCTTTTATCCAGCCGAGAGCACCAAATTCACTTGCCCGAAACGAATCGACAGAATAAGTGTTGATTTTAGTCACATCATGTGCACTAAAAATTTCGTCATTCATGACGACCAGTACGCCTTGTCCTTCCGCTGCCTTACTTCCTGCAACAATCACAGCTTCTAGCAAATTGAGAGGCCCATCAGCAGACACAGCAGTTGCTGGTCGCATCGCTGCAGTGAGAACAACGGGCTTTTTACTCTTGACGACCAGATGTAAAAAGTAGGCTGTTTCTTCCAACGTATCTGTGCCGTGCGTAATGACGATACCATCGACTTGATCGCTTGCGAGCAGATCGTTTACGTGAATCACAAGTTTTTCCCACAAGTCAATTGTCATGTCCTTGCTGTCGATATTTGCCACCTGCTCGGCTTGAATTCGAGCGACTTTTGAAAGCATTGGTACGGCTGCCAATAATTCTTCGATACTGAGTACACCTGCTCGATAGGCTCCCGTCAACTCAGAATCATTGGTTTGACCAGCAATCGTGCCACCTGTCGCCAAAACGGTGACACGTGGTAAGTCTTGGTCTAAAAAGAAATGTTCGTTAGACACAAAGTATGTTTCAATTTCTGATCAGTATAGATATCAATGCATTGTGATTGAAGAGGAGTACTTCAGAAAAAGCTAAAAGCATGATCAGATGAGATATTCAACTTACTTTCTTATAAAAATAATGTGTAATTAACTTAATCATATCTCTGATGCTCAATACCAGGAAAACTTAGACTTTTGAAGCGTATATAAGATTATGATCAAGTTGTCTAAAAACTTTCATGGTACATTTCTAGTTCTTTAATTGAAGTATCTAACATAGTCTTAGTTCATACTTAGAACTCTGATAGTTGTTTGCTTATCTTATTACTCCAAATCTGCGTTCTATAAAATTGCAAATAAAATAGAAACTGTCAATCAGTAATCTACAGAAATGTATTTCATATTTTTCAAGTAATCCAACCCGTTTGATTTCTAATGTCAGAATGATTTATGAATTTTTCCGCAATTCTATAGTCAGTGGTATAGCTCACAAGTAATAATAGTAACTGAATTATATGATCATGTTATTTTCGATAAAGTGTATCGTAGTATTTATGCAAAATTGTATTTCCGTTGAGTAATTTAAAAATGATATATTTGATACCTGCAAGTGTTCATGAAGGACTCGAGAAAAAATGAATGTAAACTGAAATATACCATTCCCCGTTCAGAAGGATTGTTAAAAAATAACCGTGGTGAGTTGATCATGATCAAAAAACTTTTTTCAAATATATATCTAACTATAGAGAGTTAGATTAGTAGCTATGGTAATAATTAGGTCTCACGATCCTGTGAATGCAAATGGAAAATTTGCATTTGTATATTCGTCGGTGAGTAAAGCTATACTCGTCAGTGAAGAGAAGATCCACCCCTACATCCAGTGAACACAAACATGTGAATTCAGTTAACATACGTACCTAGTAATTTATTATCTTCGTGTTGTTGAAAACATTGGTCCTGTCCATTGTGCTTTCCATTATGCTGAGTGAAGTGAGAACAGTCAGGCATGTTTAATAATTCTGAAATGAAATGAACATGAATTAACATCTAATTAACTGATGTGATTCGGTTCTTATGATTTTCTTCAAAAAGAAAAATAAGTTCACAATGAAATTTAATGACTAGCATGAGCTGTTAATACGTTCGTATAGCTGTATATTTCATATTACTGTCCGACATGATAATTAATATAGTAGTAATAGATTTATTTAAGTTCAGAACAAAGTGCTACTTATTTGAAAGATAATAGAAACCAGTTTTGTATTGTAGAGCGAGAAATTTGGACTCACTCTCTTACAGACAGCTCTTTGCTTCTCCAATGTAGACACATCAAAATCGGTGTGTTTACATGCTCATTGTATGCTCGTATAGATAGTGTCAAAACTCTGGAACCCAACCAATTTATCGCTTCAGTTAAAAGTGACAAAAAGTTTCGAACCTCTTCTGATCTGGTTAAATTTACGTCTTTTCTATACGTCCGAATTTGTGTTACGTTCTTTTCAGTGGTGTCAAAACATGAAGTATGGCTACACTTGACTGTGTACTGAAAGGCGAGTATGAATTGCGACACAGATATAAAAAAAGGTTCGTTACACAAACAAAGGTTTTTAATTGCTTAAGCTATAAAATTCAAATTTCAACTTTGACATGTGTGACAGACTCGGACGCAAAAATTTGGAAGTACAGAAAAGGTCGTGTAGATTTAGATATATAGAAATGAAAATACAATAAGTAATGTATGATTTTATTTGAGATTTAGCCATATTTTGTATTTCTCTCTAAAAGAACTTGTTATTTGTTTATAAGCATTGCGAAGAGAAACGATAAAGCGACCTATATAGTTAATCTAGGGCTAGCGAAGGCATGTGCATTGATCATAGAGTTAAACGTAATACGAGACGACTTTTCTTGTAATTTGTACTGCAACAAATATGAAAGACAAAGACGTCCATCGTCTCAAGTCTCAGGCTAACAGTTAAAGTGTGTTTGAACTAGACCTTGCCGGATTCAATTCGTTATCTACTGCCAATCCAATCTTGATCGGAGCTAGGGATAGCAATTTTGGAGTGAAGAACACTCTGTTTACACTATTTCTTGTCCTACCAACTATTATCATATGTGTGAGCTATAAAAAAATATGTCTATTTCTAGCCTAATGGTACTTACAACAACAGACTATACGAAAAAGACAATAAAGCGAATACCTGTTTTAAAATTCACCATGATTCCTGTTCACTCCTCTTTTTCTACTCAGAAAATCAAAAAAATAAAATTCATCTCATGACTTCGATCTTTTATCAAAGTTATGAAATTATTTTCTAGCTATCCTTCTGCATACATAATGTTATGGTGTCACGTGGATATCTTTTGCGAAATACTCTTTGATGTGGCACGAAATTGGAAAGCAATATAATTAAATAAAACTTTTTGCAGGCAAGCTTCTGTTGCTAACGCACTTTATGTAATGATCTACAATGAATTTCTTCAAGAACGAGACCGTAATTATACAGGTTTCCTAACTCCTAGCTTTTGTTTGAATCTATGAACCCAAGCAGTAAACGACTGCTTGAAAAACTTAACTAGATCAGATCGACGAAGTTGAGCACACCCATGTAATGTCTGCGTATAAGAGCTATTTCAAGAAGAAATATCTTCGAATGCAAAAGAGGCACATGATTTTAATCTATCACCTACCTTGAGAATCTCGCCAGACGACACTTGTTAACATGACAAATCACATAGCTTATTAACGCTTTTTATAGCTCTTTCTTCGTAAATAAAACTGACGTTATTTTCATTTGTCGAAAGTGATTATTCCATTTTGAATCTGAAAGTTTTTCGAACAACGCATATATGCGTCACAAGTCTCATGATTGCTTGAGACTTACGCAGTCGCTTATCATGAATGGTTTTTTCATAGACATTCCCATAGAATCATACGTCAGGCAACAGGGCCAAGGGGAAAAAAGCAGATTTCAAAATTCCCAAAGATTTCTAGAGATTTCCAAAGATTTTAGGTACCAAAATCTGCTTTTCTTCCTTGTACGGATTACAATATCATTTTCACATGAAATCCGGAGACCAAGCTTTTAAATATTAAAGAAAAATATCTTTATTCAGACAGATAACTAAGAAAATCCTGCTGTTCTTGCCACATAGTTATGATAAACTTAGGTATCGATCAAAA